GGATAAAGGAATAGGTTACAAAATAAGCAAGAAAAATGCTTTAAATATGTAACCCTGCAAAAAAAAATTAATTAATACATATAAACACAATAAACAAAATTAATAAGAGTATAACATCAAGAAATAACAAAAAAATATATGGATCTATCATAGTTAACATTTATTTTTATATTTTCCTATAAGGTACTGAGACAATTGCTTTTTAAATTTGCTTATTGAGTCTAACTCTTTTAATTCATCAGTTAAATTATTCCAAATGTTTGCCCCTTGATAAGATATACATTGTTGCCCTACGCTTGTGCGTTTTTTTTTTTTTTTTTAGGGCATATGTTAGTTCGATTTCTAGTGCTATAGTTATGGAATGATTCAAATGTCTTAAATAGGTTGTTATATGATACTGGCAGTTGATTCTTATAATATTGATACATAGATATGGCACAATTTTTAAAGTAAAGATCAAAAATATTTAATGTTTGAGTAACAATAAACAAAGGATGTGAAGGATGCAAGCGGTCAACATGACAAATATTTCTTAATGACTTTTTTGAAGTATTTGCAAACGATTTAGATTACTAGCAGACGTGGTACCCTATGATGTAATGGCATAAGTTAATCTAGGAAGTATAAGTGCATTGTATATTGTTAACATTATTTTACTTGATATTTGTTTTACCTTATTAAGAACACCAACGACCCTTGAAACATTCGTTGCAATTTCATTTACATGATAATTAAATGTCAGAGCTTCATCCAAAAAAAGGCCTACGAATTTGACTTCACTTGCTCTTGCAATTGTTTCATTTTCAATTCTTAAATTTACGTTAACAGTGTTAACCACTTTATTTCTAGCTTTAAAAACAATGTATTCTGATTTGTTTATATTTAGTCATTAATACCTACCAAAATACGGAACCTCTCTGCTAGTGGTTTTTAGCTGCTGTTCTAGTTTGTCGTCTACTGTCTAACATCCAAAACTAGTCCGGTAACGTTTTTATTTCACAAAGGCACGCTATGAAACTGCTTACGTTAACAGTTTGATATTAAATAAAATATCTAAATGTTTGTAGTTCTCTCCTGAGGGAACGTCATAAACAATTTTAGAATTTTGTCATAATTAAGGCATCTCTAATACCCAGATCTGCTTCTGTCTGATCGTCCACTCCAAGTATGGTGGTATAAATAAACATTAATAAATAATTGGGTTAACTATTCTTAGCTGATTATGGCATTTGTGTTGGCCTAAATACATCTTTAATTTTGTGTAAGTTGGTTTCTGCTCTTACAATTTTCAATCTAAAATGTGTTGTATGTTATGTATCTATGAATGTTTTATCTTCTTATGAATGAGTTGTATGGGTCGAACCTCTCACTCTCACTCGTCCGAGTGATCCTCTTGTACTAATTTATTTCCTCAATGGGTCTGCAAATCATATCGTATCCGTATCATAATTTCTATCACAAAATAATAGGAGATAATAGTTTATTTCAGTCGATCAATTTGAACGAAGAATTTTTATAATTTTATTTGTTTTCTTTTCGATTCTATGTAGAAATCCGATTATGTGAACATGCACAGGTTATTTCATCATGTGAGGATGAATTATAACTACAACAAAATAAAAACAGTAATGATGGATATTATGCCAATGCTTAAAGTATTTTAATTCTCTTCATTATCATACATTCGGTATATTACAAGTTAGAGTTGTCCCATCTGTTGAAACTTAATTACATCAGTAACAATTTGATGATAGTAACAAGAATACAAATATTTAAATAATAGACTATTTAAAAGAGGCTATCATCATATTATTAATGTTAAATAAGGTAATAAAGTAATAACACATTAATACTTATATTATGACCAATGAAAATAACAAAAACAAAAAATTGACAATAATATTTCATAAAAATAAATCAGTGTCTAAAACAGATTCATTGAACAATGATGTAGGCTCCCTTCCCATTATTATTATCAACTGGGCACATGTTGCAAACCTCTTTGCGCATGCTACACGGTCGCATACCAGTTTATATATTCAGTATTGCAATGCATTTTCCAGTACACGTCACAATTGACTGCGTAATTTTATTACAGTATACACTCTACGTGTAGTTAAGTAGACTTGTAATTACAACCTTTGAAATGCATAATTTAGCGCTCCGATACCAAATTCACAAGTACACCAGTTAGCAAAAGGAGTAACAGATTCTTACAATTCGTGTGAACTTGGTATTAAATGCATAATTGTACTGAGATATACATATTAAAATATGAGATTATGCATACTCGTAGAAGCACTTGTTTGTAGGCACAGATTTAGCATGAACTGCCCTCTACGACATTGTAAGACATCGACTGGGACACAGAGGGCGATATTTAAGGTGCACAATCATGACTGGGAAAAGTTACTGTTAATTTGTTACTTGTATTGAACAACAAAAAGCAAGTAAAGAACTTTGTAAATAAATAGTTCCTTAGGACATAAAACAAAACAGCCTGTATTACACTTAAAGGTACTTGCACAAAAATGGAATTGTTGAGGATAAATTTCTATGATTCATATATCCATATACACCTGCATAATTTTGGTGTTTGATTCAAAATGATCACAACGTATTGCTAATATAAATTTGTTAATATAAATGCGAATGTGCTAAATAATTATTGATATATCATGTACTATATTCATGAAGCAATTCATGAAACAGATTATTATAACATTAATTATTGTTGTTAATTACAACCTGAATTTATCTTCAAATTGTAATAAATATCTGAATACAGCACAATAGTGATAGGAAATGAAAGAAAACAAAAATCCATCATAATTTTCTTTTGACATCCATTCAAAACCATTATACTTGACAAAAAGATATAATGTAGAAAGACAAAACTAAGGATATTTTTTGAATAGAAGGAAGAAAAATACAAATGACAAACAAGAGTGAGTAGAGACACATTTCTTTCAAAATGGAATGATTTAACACACTGCCTCATGATAATAAAACACTAACATTAACCAATATCTAATTTTATGTTCTGTATACAGTGGCATAACATTGTGTTGATAAGGCAAATAACCTATAACATGTTTTAGAAATTTATTTAAAAAATTATGATTTATGGACAGGTGATCCAATAAAATAAGAAAACCTTAAAAGTAGGGAAGAGTTAAAACCAAGCATAATTTAAGGAGCAATATTTCTATTACAAGTACATACCCCAACTGCATAATGGAATAACCTGTACAGCATTAGTCTTTCTTTGTGAAATTAAGCAATTAAAATTAATACTACTGTATATTATTTTGCCAAAATATGATTTACTCTAAAATTATAGATTACAAATTACAATACATTTGGTTTTAAGTTATCTTTAATGATACAGAGGTGCAAAGAAACCATTAAAACTTTATTAACACAATACAGCATGTCTTATCTGTTGTCAAGGGGAAAAAAAACCTATGACCTCTTATATAAACATTCTATTCTGACTATTTCATTATTTTTTTCTTGAAATTTAAGGTCTAAATGTTTCTAGTTATCACTTCATAGAATAAAATATATGAATAAAAAAAGTAGAAATAATGAAAAACAAACATATACTTTATTATTTAGAACTGATAAGATGGCAGATTACATTGTGTTATACACAAGCCTTGCTGACTAAAAGGGGAAACATTTCAGTAAAATTGAGTAAAGTTAGGAATTGGTGATCAAGACATAAAAACACTAATGGAATGACACACTAATAGTACAGTATAAAGAATATAAACATAAAACATTAATATCATTAAATTTTGAATGAGAATGTAATGCCCTGTTGTCTGACAGAATTTTTTTTTCATTGCCCAAATCTGCAAACACAACCACCTCACATTTTTACTAGTCTTGTTTTCTCACTATCAGGTTAGCTTCTCCGATACACAGCACACCATCACAGTCACACCCCAGTTCTAAGTCCCTAACATATTTCATAGTATCGCCACAAGACAAGGATCAAATCTTGACATAGTGAACAGACACAAAAACTACACTATATTTTTTTTGTGATAGCATTTTTGTAAAGAACCAGGCCATCTTTTCTTACAAACCCCCACATTTCAACTAAGCCTGGAAATGGGAGCCTATCAATCTTGCCATATGTTCCTCCTATCCATTGACTAAGTCTTGCCATGGGTTCCTCCAATCAATTGCTAATTGCCATAAGATTGTTTTTATCAAAGTTGTTTAAGTCTTGCCATGGGTCCCTCCTATCAATTGCTAATTGCCATACGTTTCTCCTATCCGTTGACTAGGTTTTGCCATGGGTTCCTCCAATCAATTGCTAATTGCCATGAGTTCCTTCTATCAACGTTGTTCAAGTCTTGCCATGGGTTCCTCCTATCAATTGATAATTGCCCTACGTTCCTCCTATCAATTGCTAATTGCCATGGGTTCCTCCCATCAATTGATAATTGCCATGAGTTCCTTCTATCAAAGTTGTCTAGGTCTAGCCATGGGTTCCTCCTATCAATTGATGATTGCCATGGGTTCCTCCTATTGATAATTGTAATGAGTTCCTTCTATCAAAATTGTCAAAGTCTAGCCATGGGTTCCTCCAATCAATTGCTAATTGCCATGGGTTCCTCCTATCAATTGATAATTGTAATGATTTCCTTCTATCAAAATTGTGAAAGTCTAGCCATGGGTTCCTCCTATCAATTAATGATTGCCATGGGTTCCTCCTATTAATTGATAATTGTAATGAGTTCCTTCTATCAAAGTTGTCTAGGTCTAGCCATGGGTTCCTCCTATCAATTGATGATTGCCATGGGTTCCTCCTATCAATTGATAATTGTAATGATTTCCTTCTATCAAAATTGTCAAAGTCTAGCCATGGGTTCCTCCTATCAATTAATGATTGCCATGGGTTCCTCCTATTAATTGATAATTGTAATGAGTTCCTTCTATCAAAGTTGTCTAGGTCTAGCCATGGGTTCCTCCTATCAATTGATGATTGCCATGGGTTCCTCCTATCAATTGATAATTGTAATGAGTTCCTTCTATCAAAATTGTCAAAGTCTAGCCATGGGTTCCTCCTATCAATGGATGATTTCCATGGGTTCCTCCTATCGATATTTTCTAAGTCTAGCCATATGTTTTTCCTATCAATTGATAATTGCCATATGGGTACCTTCTATCAATTGCTAAATGCCATTGGTTACTCCTAAATTTTGCTAACTCTTGCCATGGGTACCTGCATAAATTTATTTGGGATTGGTTTACCTGGAAATAAATATATATATAAAAAAAGGGAAAAGCTGTGCACCATGGACCATTTTTAACACTACTGTATGCAACAAGGAAATTCTCAATAATTATGCCATTTTCAAAATTTTAACTACATCACTATAATGATTGTAAACAGAAAATCATGCTAATAACTTAATGCTCTTTACAACTGAGGCAAGTATGGCCATAATGAGATCTACAATAAATGTTGTGTTTATTAAAAACCTTTACCTTCAAGATATTTCCAATCCATCACAATTATGGCCATAATGAGATCTACAATAAATGTTGTGTTTATTGACCAAAAGCAGAGAAACAAAATTAAATATTCTTGTACATTCACTGGTATAACAATTTTCATATTGATATTTAAGTTTTTGACTTTAATGACAAATACTGTAGTACCTTTACCTTCAAGATATTTCCAATCCATCACAATTAACTTCCTTCTATGGTCATTTAAGCATACCCACTACCACCTCCCCAAGTGCCTCCAAGGCTTGTAAAGCAAGGAATAAAACAAATTTCAATATACACGATTATATGTAGGAAAGGGAGTGGCGAAAGATAAAATAAGTTGATATTAATGTGAAGAAATTAAATACAAAGGTAAAATTTAAGCACCTCTTAAACATTGCATAGATAGTATCATCCTGGTTCACACTTACTAATCTCTGTTCACACTTACTAATCTCTGTACACACTCGCAAGATTTATGAGATCACATGACTTGACAATTTAGGCAGAGCGTTAGGATCAACATTTACATTAACAACTGCAACTCAGCATGCACACATAAGAAAAACACAATACACACCGACATTAGGATCAAGACACACATCAGCAAAACATACAATTAAAATCAATGTTCATGTACAGTACACATACACTTAGTTGGACAAGTAGTCCAGTTACTTGGACAAGTAGTCCTCTAAAAAAACCACAATAAATGCAAGCACCCAACCCAACATGTGTACATACAGTCCAACCTTATGTATCGGCCACTCAAAAATTCTAATGGAGACGCCAACTTTATATGCAATTAGCAAGCAATCAAGTAGTCAAGACAGTTCCAAAATATTCCTGTTATGCTAACATACGCAAATTTGTTTGTGACCTTTTTTAACGATTGTGACCCCATATATCGCAAACAGAATATTTTTGTTTTTCCAGTTTACAATTTTTTGAACATGTGTTGTAGGATTAGCCATTCCCTAAATAATATGTAAAATTGTATTGGATTTGGCATTATTGCAGTAATCAAATTGGTGACAAATTAAATAATGCCAACAAATTCATCTGGACAAGGTACAACCTTCCCTAAATATGGACAAGGCTAATAGTAAAAATCTAATTTGGTTAAATTTTTTTACAAGGAATGAAAATGTTTTATTAATTTATTCGTCCCTTTCTGGTAATATTTTGTTAAAGAAAAAAAAAAATTAGCAAAAACCCATATTTTTGCTGTTAAAATTTTTGAGATACAATTTCTTGCATTTTAATATACAGTAGTTACTCTATGGGGCATATTGTGTATGGAAGTGTTTAACACATTTAATTCTTACTGATGTCATGCCAAGTGGCAAGGTTTTGTTTGTTAGAATAAAAACAAAATTCATTGAATTAAAATTAATTTAATATTATTCTAAACAATCATTCTAATAATGATCATCAACATTTAAAGACAATCAATTAATTAGAAATAAAATGGTACTCTGAAATAAATATGCATAAATAAACCTAATAGGTAATAAAAATAATATAATAAAGTAAATATACTTGCTAATACGTACATGACAACTGGGCATAATTAGTTATTGTTTCTGGAATAATAGTGTACTCAGAAGTTATGGTAATAGCTTCTAACACCATGGTTACCACCTTCTGAAACCATGGAAATAACTAAAGATAAAAATAACCAAAGTAAAAATTTCTGAGAGCATGAAATAGATTCTGAAAACAACTGAGGAACAGATACTGCAGCCAAGTATGACAGTAACCTTTGAATCGATGGTAACTAATCCTGGGAACCATAACACAATTAAGCTTATGCTGTATTATTTTACCTTGTAAACTTCCAAGCAATATAAGTGTGGGATTCATTGCTGACATGCCACAGAAGCATGAACCTACACCACAAGCGTAAGGGTAACAGAGAGACGAACTAAAATAATGGTTCACCACAACAAACCATTTTATTGCAACATTACCATGTTTTAATGAAATCGAAACAGTTTCGATTTAGTTTCTTTCTTGGCACTGTCTGTTGTGCATGGCACTAGGCCTCTGCTGAGTTCCATGCATGGAATCCGCTAACCGGTTTCAACATTTTTCCTGAATTCAATACAGACTCAACAATCACACCGATTTTCTGCTTTTGAAATTGAATATACTATTTATTAACGCTGTAACTTATACGAATACCGAGATGTTCTTGTGCCACCACCTTCAATCGTCCACTGTCTGAATCTCTCCCATGTTGATTCGATCTGCTGGATTCACACTAAAGCCCAGAATACTAGGATCTAAGGTTTGGAAGCGCTTCTTCTTCTTCCCTCCGCCAGATTTGCGCATCGAATCAGATTCCCAGTCTCCATAGGATGAGCTGTTAACATGGGAAGATTTTCCCTGAACAATCCATGGAGCATCCTAAAAAACCCACAACATAACCTTAAACATTCTAGTATGTTGTTTTTGAAAGCCTCTGTATTCGGACACGGTCATTTTGTAACAAATTTTGGTGTACACCACAGGGTATTTAAAATCCGTCTAGTGTATTTCTTTTTTTAATTTCATCATTTAAAAATGTTATCTTAAGTTTTATAAAATATATCATTTTGACAGTTATTAATGAACAGCCGAAGATAAGAAACTTACCATTTGTCTCAATTTCTGTCGGCGTTCAATGAACTGGCGTGCGAAATCTGCCGTTTCACGTGATTCACCAAGATAGACCTTAACATAATCATGAAGTTCATATGGAGACTCAACGTCTTGCAGGAATGCTATAAAAGTTGGGACTTGAGATTAAAAAAAAAAAATTATATTTAATAGGATTATACATGTGAAAGTGGTTTGGCGCAGCGTGAACGGTTTGGTTTCCCAACCTCGAGGTCGGGGTTTCAATCCCTCGCTGTGCATTTCACTTGTGTCCTTGAGCAAAGCACTTCATCTGCATTGCTTCTCTCCACCCAGGATATAAGTGGGTACCTAAGGAGGTTTGAGTGCAAAATGCGCTGATATATTTCATGCAGCAAACTATGGAATTTCCCCCATAGTCATCGTTCCAATGACTGGGGTAATAATGTGGAAAAAACGCTCTGAGACTTAGTCGTATAGAGTGCTTTATATAAAAACCTGCATAATATTAATATTATTATTATATGATTTACATAATGAACAACTGATGATACACCATAACCATGCATCCTAGCAAAAGGAGCTAAATATTTGTCAAATGAAGCATCCCATCTCAAATTTAGGAATGTTAAACTGGGTAGTTAGCATTAGAAAAGCAACAGAACTGTATACTTAGAAGCTGTAATACTTTCCTTGGGCAATATTTATTAGAGCCCAGCAACTGCCTTATCATTTTATAGCAAATAATGTGGAAATATAGATATATTAATAATGTCAATATTTATTTTTTTGCCATGAATGATTACAAGGCCTTACTGTCTACTGATGCTGCCATTCCTCTTAAAGTCATCTCACACCATGTCGTGAATTCATCGCTCACCATATTGCTTTGAAAAAGCCTCTTAACATTTTCCTGGAAAATGCAAATAAAATTAATCATTTTTAATTGGGATTTGCAAGGTGAATATAAGAGAACAACCCATAACTCACAGGAATATTTTGCAGAATTGCACACAGGTGCGGTCTGTGACAACTGTAGCAGCCAAAGAATAGAGCTTTGTACTTTCATGCTCACATCATTTCTTGAGAACTTCCAAAAAATGTCATAGGTTCTTCAAAGTGCATAGAAGCCAGATATGTACACTGAACATATGTTTTATACTTCTAATCAAAACGAATTGGATCAATCACCCAAAAAAAAGGGCAAGGAAGCTTTACATAACAGGAGCTTTAATGCCGTAGTTGTGGCACTCTTGCCTTTCTGTTTGTCCACTTGACTCGCCCAGTAATAATAATAATGATAATAATAATTCTTTATTTGTCCTCGTATATGTATGCCTACACACTGGGAAATTCGGGCTGGGTCCCCGGGGACCTGCGGCTGCCATAGCTCGACGGCAACTACCCCACTTACTCTACAACATAAAACAGATACAGACTGATACATACATGGTCCTTAACTCGCCTAACTCTCCTGGGAGGGTTATTCAAGGAGCTGAGCGTTTTGTTATTTTAAAAGACCCGAATTCAATACTAGATGCAGAGCCGGGTATCGAACCCGGGCCCTGGCGTGCAAGAGGCAGGAACCATACCAATTAGCTCAGCTCAGTGGAAAATCATTTAGATAGTCAGTGAAACCAGCTAAACTATACTGCTTATTCATACACTGAGTGATTGCTTACCTCTTCCTTGGCTGTTCTAGACTTAGAATTGGATTGTGAATGCTGTTGTTGTTGCGTCAGGTTTTGATTTGATGCAGGTGCCCTCAACATCGGGAAATGGTTGTCACTACAAATGAGAAATAAAACAAAGTCATGATTGAAAAGAATATAATGAAGTTAAAGCAGCAAAAAAAAACAATCAAACTAAATGAATGCAAGACCTTTAATGCTTTGCTTTGAGTCTATACAGTATTAACACAATTGTCTCTACATGGTCAATACTTTCATCATCATTTATAGAGCCTTCTGAAGTATGCAATGCTTTAATTGGTAATTAACACTTAATTAGATACGTAAAACCTATCATAGACAATGGTTGACATTTTACATGTTTTTACATTTTTTTCTATTGCAGGTTTTCCTTTAGTTTAGGTTGACTTTTACACTACAAATTAATTAATTAAATTAAGAGATAAATATTATGTTAATGCTCAGTCTATTACTCTCAACAGTTTAAGATTCAACAAGACCTAAAATAGCACTTCACCCTCAATACATACCTTGCTTTAGGTTTTTGCATGGCAGTGTTTTCACGTGTACACTCATCCCAAAATCCTCCAGAAGCCAGACTGCTGGTGTCAGATGACCCCCAAACATTATTGCTGTTATCAGAAGAACCAGAACCCCAATTCAAAGATGTGTTAGAGTTCCCTCTCCAAACTGCTGCAGATGTTACAGGCAGATTCTGTTGATCAATATGAGAACATTTTAGTAAGACAGAATTTGTAATAATGATGAAATATTCATATTTTTAACATCGATAAAGAAACATAGTAAAAGTGACAAAAGTAAAAAGGTATTATACACATCAACGCAATAGTAAAATGTGTATAAGCTGACCTCTTTTAGGATGACAACATGTCAAATGTAGTGGTAGGCTACACTTTTTATCAAAATAATTTAAGTTAATATTAGACTGGATTGGTAACTGTTGGCCTATTTACACAGAGCTGGAAGCCAGCACACAAAAGGAGCAGAAATAGTACTACACATACTGTACTGTAGTGTGAGCCTCACTAAATGCTAATTTACTACCCAACAAATTTTAACATGTAATAAAATTCTATTTCTAAAATAAATGTCAAGGGACAAAAAAATATTCATATTCTGGCAATCAGTGACCTGGGTCATCCTTCAGAGAACATGCAGAATGCAGTACATTTAATGTTGCATGTGAGACTACTGTTGTCATGCACATTGTACAATGAATAGCACAGCATAGATCGTCACTGACTCATGGTGGTGCCATGCTCTGTGCTTTGTGTTACAAGAAAGTAAATACTCACTGGCTGTGATTTGGCTTGTACAGGTTCAGACTTGTGCTGCTTCTGCTGCCTAGACTGTTCCTCCTGGATCTCGCGCAGTGACTTGGTGCTCCCTTTACCATTTACATTACTGTCAAATAAGAGGAATAACATGAATAAAGCAACTACATCTACCGAGCAAGATTTAATAGCAGAAATTGTAACAGAACTACTAATTCAAATTAATGAGTGGTGAGATTTATTTTATGGTCTTAAAGGGCTAAGCCATTAGTAATCTGTGTTACTGATGGTGAAAAGGGTATATTATCATTACCATCATTTGTATTATTTAGCTAAAAATATATTTGTGATGCTTACCCAGCTGCCTTGCTAGCCCATCCTGCTCTGTTCTGCTGCTGTTGTTCCTGTATGTGAGCTTGCATACGCCGTTGTTTCTATTTAAAAAGTATAACAACACTAAGACTACTGACTTGCTCCTGAATTCACTCAAATCTTTTAGGAATATCATACAAACTAAAACAAGCAAGCAAATCAGAAATGCATATCTCAGGATGTTTATAGGGTAAATACCTTAGTGCACTATAGTCAGAAAAGTGGCACATCTAAGCCGCTAATGAAGAAATTCAGGTAAAACATTTTCTAAGCCACCAAGACAAGCCAAAACTGCCGACCTACCTCTTGCCTGTCACGTTCTTCTTGCTGGGCTTGTAAGTTTTGAATGTGAGATAAGCTTGGACTTGACTGAGAACTGGGGCTAGGTACGCTTGTGCTGATCTGAGCCCACATAGCAGTAGATGGTAGCTGTTATAAAAAGATTGATGTAACATATTTTTTTATCAAGTTCTTCATTATGAATTAATATATCTATTGTGCAATTTATGAACAAAGACCTCTATTTACTTGACAGCTACTCTATATGTATTATGGCTACACCCTTTACCTTCACTGGATCTACTTGTTGCTGTTGCTGCTGCTGCTGTTGTTGCTGCTGCTGTTGTTGTTGCTGTTGCTGCTGAAGTCGCCTCAAAAGTTGTTCCTGTTGTCTTTGCAATTCTTGTCTCATCATTTCTTTCCTAAATTTGTGATAGATTACAAAAATATTATATTTGATAATGAGAAAACAAAGCATCACGATGTGTAATAACAACTATTAATCAATCTTACAAGTGTTTCTAGAGCTCCTAATGAGGGCAGTATAATAGAGGCAGTAGTGTAAAAAGATCTATTAATCAATCAACTACTTATCAATCAGCCTCATGAGGGCAGTATAATAGAGGCAGTAGATATAAAGAAGATTTATATATCAATCAGCCGAGTGTTTCTAGAGCTCCTAATCGGAGCTAACAACTGAAGAGACAATAAGCTTATTAAAGCAGTGATGCTGCTGCTTTCTCCAGCATTATAAACGCACCTGGAACATGATTCAGTCGCAACTGATTCTATTATCCTACACACCATAAACATTTCTATTTATTTTAACACCATTTTTATTATTACTGACACTCCTAAAATGCTTTTTCATTTAATCTTTAATGATAGTTTCATCAGTTTTTACTTTTTAATGTCTTTCTGTTGCATCTCTTTCTCCTGTTGCCTCAACATCTCCTCCTGGTCTTTCCTTTTCCTGTCATCCTCAACAACTCTTCGGGAAGCTTCCTCTTTCTGCCGCAAGATTTCCTCCTGTCTCTGAATGATTACAAGGAAAACGAAAATGAACTTGCATAGAAGGATGCGAGTTGAAAATTATATAAATAGTGAGAAAATACTTTAAAAACAACAGTAACAAAAACAATACAATGACAGTAACAAAAAAACAATTACCATTACTATGAGACACAAGGCTTAGGTATAACAAAATTACATTGAGAGTTTGTATTAGCTTACAATCTGCTGTTGCCTCCTCTTTTCTTCTTCCTCTCGTCTTCTCATTTCTTCCATTCTCTGTTCTTCCTGTCTCCTAAGTTCCTCCTCTCTTCTGAGTAGTTCTTCTTGTTGCTTTTTCAGTTCTTCTTCCTTTCGTTTAAGCTCTTCTTTTAACCTATTTTCAAATATATATAGTACGAATAATAATAAATCATAACATATCACTGTTGTTGTAATAAATTTAGTAGTATTATCAATGCAAGTCATTGTAAATGCAATTTATTTTAAAATTAAGGTGGTGCTAATTACTTTATATCTCCCTGTTGTCTTGCTAAGGCCTGCATTCGTTCTTCTGCTTGTCTGGCAAAATACAGCTGCTGCTTTCTCATTCTTTCATTAAAAGCCTGAATAAACAAAACGAAAAAGTTTGTATGGCGTTTACATATTAGGAGTCGAATATTTATGATCTATATCATATCTAGACTTCAGGAATATTAAAATCACGCATTTAATCTGTTGTTGTCTCTAAACTAAACACTATGGCTTACTCATCCCTTAAATTATGCACTGCTTCTGTTCACCAACCACACTAACAAAATGACAGAGTTTAAGCGGAAGTAAGAATGTATCTCTTCTACAGTAATCCCTTTTGTGGTTCCTTGTGTGGGGGGAAAACCCAACACTGTGGCAGACACAGGATTTGAAAAACATGGAGTAACAGGCGAAAAAGCAACATTGGAGGCATGTTCCCAGATCTCTCTCCTCTGATATATAAACAGTGAGACTACGTTTATTTACTGATTAACACTTCCTACTGTACCTCTTCTGTTAACACTTTGCCTTCTGGTTTTGAGGGGTCCCACACTCCTATGTCCCAGCCTTCTGCAGCATTCATCATTTGTTTCTTGAGTGCAAAGTTTGGATCACCGACCGATGGGTCCCACACACCAACCTCCCAATTATCGTTACCAAATCCTGGTCGTCCCACCTGTCCACTACCGCCCTCTGGCTGCCAAACACCAATCTCATAGTCTATAAAGAAATTTAATTATTATTAGTATTTTCTTCCCTCATCAAAATATCAGACTAGGAAGGGAAACTAACCACCAATCTATGTATACACTCTCAATTTCCCATGTCTTCCTCCACTAGAAAGTATAACATAGGATTGGAATGGATTTATTTGTTAAATTTCTCAACACAAAAATGAGTACAAAATCAAAACAACATAATTATTTCAGGATAAGCCTTTAAGCATTTCAGCTTTATTTTCTAAGGGGTCTTTGTGAATAATAGGGAACTTTCGATTTGTGTAATGATGCGAAGCTAGAACGGAATCACTCATGCGTGTCTGTCCTACCACATTTGGCCAAATTGCATCCTAGAACATTCTCGCATTCGCTGATGATTTTTAGTGACGTCATTACGTTCTATGTCAAACTGTCATTGTGCAATCGAAAGCTCCCTACAATAAAATGTCAAATATTCAGTATGTATCTGATATACTTTATTTTGATTGGTTGACCTATTAGGCTAGTTATGGAGGTCATGGGTTTGATTCCCACCCGAATCTTTTCCGCGAGAATATTCGGTACGTTGCCAGGTAGGGCAAAACATCACTCCTATGATATTTCCCTGATGCAAATACACATCAAAATAAAGACGGTAATTTAAGTTAAAAGATGGAAGCCAGGTTTGGAAAGATATGACCAATCAGACATCCTGTCTTACCACTATTTGGCAATTCACAATACTAACCTTCCCTTCTTTTCTTGACCTCTTCTCCTGGGCCAGTTCCCCATACTGAGATAATCGGGCCATCTTCCTCACCCTTTACCTTTGACTCAGGAGTCAAACTACGGTCTCTTGTAGTACCACTGAGCTGGCGTTGTAGCTGGGGAGGTGGCTTTTGTCCTGGATGTTGTTGTGCAGCTTGTTGCTGTTTTTGAAGTATGTACTGATGTTGCCGCATCTTAGATAGAAGCTGTTGTAAGAGGAACTGCTGCTGCTGTGGGGTAAGTATTTGACCTTTCTGCGCAAATTGTTGTTGAATTTGGAAAGATCTGTGAATTGACCCAAAAATTCAAAAATTCAAAACTGTGTTCGAATTGAATACAATTTATAGGTATCAACATCCTTTCATTCTATTTGGCTTATCCCCAAGTCAATTATTCCTAAGGCTTTCATTTCCATGATCTATCGTCTTGGAGGTCTGTAACAACGAGATTCACCTATGGGTAATCTGTCATTTCCAGGGTGATATATCTGGGGTCTATTATTCAAAAAGTTCATCATTATGAAGGTTTTATGATGCAAGGAAAACATTAACAGGGTCTATCTTGCCAGAAAAATAATGTAAAGAGTACATTTTAGGCATCATTGTCAGAGGTTATAATGCAAATGGAACATTTTTCACAGGGTCATCATTTCTAGGCTTCTACAATACCAGGGGACTGTTATTTAGTAATTCCCATGGAAATTGTTCCCCTGTGTGTATCACCCCATCTGACCTCATCAGAATCTGTTGTTGTTGATGAGCCATCAGTTGCATCATTTGTTGCTGTAGTAGTTGTTGCTGGATTATAAGTTGCTGTTCTGGGCTCAGGTCCTTCCTTGATTGGCCTGCCACTTTCACTTGTGGACTAGCTGGGGCCTGAAATTTTATATTATATTCAAATTGTTACTTTTACTATCAAAACCCAGTATTTGTCTTACTGTTGATCTTATTATGAGCAATCTAGGCCCTGTCATTTGGATCAGATCAGTTTAACTAAGAGTCCTGAAAACAACAAGTTCTGTATCTATTTAGATAGATAATGACACTTTTGAAAACAGAACAAAAAAAACAACATTTCTACTAATATTTTCTAATAAAATGAATAAATGAAATTAGTAGATGTAAATTTTACCTTATTGGGAGGTGGTTCTGGACCGGGAAGGAAAGGAACTCGTCCCCACTGTTTAATTAATTCACCTAATGGAAGAAAGACATCATCAAAGCTGCGTTTAACAAGTAGTGTCATGGTGAAATAGCCAGCACCAAACCAATCTGCCATCTCTCCCGCACTGAAGGGTCCTTGTACAGCACCCTGGGGATCCTTGTATAACCATCTACGGGAAATGTCTGCATTTGCAGCGACAACTTTACTAGCAGCTTGTTGCTGCTGCTGTTGCTGCCACTGAAGCTTACCAGTAATTGTTCGTAGGAGTTTATCATCATCATCCTAGGAAAATAAAAATTTATTACAAAATTACCTGTTAGAAAAAAATATATATAGTAGCAGGTGTACTAAGCCCACGCTTTCAAAAATATGCTTCACGACCCAAAAGTGGGTCACCAAACTTTTGCATTGGGTTGCAAGAAGGTTTGAAAAATACTTTAACAAATATTGAATTCTTATTTGCAAATTTACACAGTTGATGTAAAATCTTTAAAGATGTGACGACTTGAATACAGTATTTTAGGTGAACTCTCATTAGAACAATCTCTAACAATCATGCGGTCTGTGTATTATTTGAGCATTGACCAAGAATATATTTGTATTGACATTTTGTTTTTGAATTGCCAGGTTTGCAAAACATGGTATAAAATCTCACCTTAATGTGTAAGAAGGTTTTTTGTAATTGTTGAAAAAAACAGAGAGGTAAAAGCATGAAGATACTGTCAACATTCTTATTACCTAAAAACAAAGAGCATGAAGCTCTGTCCCCACTATCAAATTTTATGTGATATGCCCATATTTGGTGTAATATGACACTATCACGCCCATCACACATATTTCATAGTGTGGACTGAACCTTATTTGACACACCTCTTCGGTCATTTTAACAATGTCTTCAGCTGCCTCCTTCTCTATCCGTGCCAACGGATCCTCTTCCTCTTCCTCTTCCTTCTCTACTACTACATCTATTTCCTTTTGCAATTCTTCTGGAGGTTCATTGTTTTCCGTAATGGCCAGTAGGCTCTTTTCAACGCTCTCAAGAGTCTGATGTTGCTCTTCCTGCTCCTCTTCCTTCGGTTTACTTGTCACACTGCTGCCTTTGATTTCCGCTAACAACAATTCTCCTGGAGTCTTATTGCTTACATTCTTTTCCTTAGTTTTTGACACTTCAGGTCTGGAATCTTTGGTTGAATCAACATTTGAAATACTAGATTTTGTTAAGTGTTTATCTGTTTTGGTACTATTAGTCTCTTGAAGTTCTTTTTGTTTTTTAGGATTTTCTTTCAAGGCATTTTGTTCTTTATTACTTTCAATAATCTTAGGATCCGTCTTGGAATCTTCCTTATTCATATTCTCCTTCTTATTCACATCCTTTTCCTCTTTCTGTGAAAATCAATAATCATTTTATTTCAAAGCTGATTTAATTAAGTACTAATTATGCAGTTTATAGCTTATTTTGATAACGATTAACACTTTCTTAGCTGTTCATGTCACATCTATTAAAAGGAAGCCTGTTTTTATTTTTATCTTGGTTTTGATGACCTGAATCATGTCAAAATCAAAATAAAAGGACTGTTAGATCTACCTTCATTGAGAAAAATGCCCCAGATGAATCAAAGGAACTAATCATTGCATCGTCTTCAAACGCATCATCTTTCGCCCATTCAGGTAAGTCTTCCGTAGTCTCCTCATAACTATCTCGCCTATTACGTGCACTGTACCTTCGCTCAGGCCGATCACCTCTTTCTCGTTCTCGGTCTTCATCATACTCACTGAACGATGTATTGCGTTCCCGTGGTTGCCGCCAACTTGTTCTTGGCCCCCCTTGACGTAAAAAAAATATAAAGTGTTAAGGCCGACCAAGATTAGTTAGACCAAAATGGTTAGTAAATATCTACCAGTCCAATGTCTCATCTATCCTTTTATAACTTTGTATCACTTAGACTAACAAAGTTACTGAAACTAAGTTATTCTCTAACAGCTTTTTTAACAATCACAATAATGACAACTACCAGCGAAACCACAACCACTGCTACAACAAAATAAATTCCACTCTTAGGCTCTCACTCATCGCAAAAATGACAACCACCACATCACTAGAACCACAATGTCCTCCAATTGTTGCACGAAATTTAATACATAATTTATAAAAAAAGTTCTGTTTCTCAATAAAAATAATTTTAGAACTGAACAAGTTTGATTGCACATACCCCCACCTGTCCTCCAATTATCATCATCACGAGTGTTACGAGAAGTTCTTGAGGGCGCTTGCCGCCAACCTCCATCATCTTCCCCATTTTCTCGAGTTGATCCTCTCTCTCCACGTGAACGCCAATTCTCACTAATACTACGATCAAAATGCTTCCGAGGAGACGGTGGACCGGAATCTTCAAAACTGCGAAATCTTGAATCACGACTGAAACAAATGAGAATTTTAATTAGTAAAAGAAAACATTTCTTTTTGTACATTTACTAAATTAGCAATAGGCGTTTGGGTAATGTGCCAATTCATGTTAATATATCCTAGGTAAAAATAATCTCAGCTGCAGTATCCCTATAATATAAGCAAATTGATATGCTGACTGCTAAAATAAACTGTGTAAGTGATTATGAAGTGAACATATACTTTAGCACTGTCAATACTCTCTCAAATCTGTTAAGCATCCAAAGGAAACAGCCGGTAGATGTACTGATATCATCAATTATATTTATAAATTTGACTTCCTTCCTGTCAAACTTTGTCCTTTTCTACACAGTGTATAAGTGAACAACCTTAATGCAAGTTGACTTGTCATCATTTAGGTGTCATTTCACCCTCAAATTCAGGAACACTTTGATACCTGAAAATGTGGAATGGTCTGGTACTGCTATGGGCATTTATAATGCACCTTTTTCTGCAGTTGTACTGTAAAACGCACAACAAGTCTCATTGTTCAGGAAAAAACTCAGGAAGCATATAATATCATGAGCACTACAACTACAGTCAAAACAATTAACAACAAAAGCACAACACAAAACGTACAACAGATGCAGCAATACAGACAAAATAATAATTGGTGGTAGTAGGCAAACGAGTGAGTCTTGAGTGCACCTTTGAAAACATTGGGATCAGAAATGTCCCCAAGTTCCTGTCACAGGGTTTGTCTTCAGTTAACAGTTCCCCATGGAGACAAATGCTAAAAAAATTGTTTAAAAACAGCAGGTAATTCAACATGAACAACATTTAAGTGATGACAGTCTCATACCCAAAACCCTCTCAGTCAAAACCTGGAATTATATTTTCCTGAAAAAGTTGTTTGTTTTTTTTTGTGGAGAAAACACATACATATATTCTTTACTTTCACGATCTTGTATTAGAGGTTACCGAACGTTGTCTCATCTATAAATTAGATCATTTCAGATTCAAAAATTAAGGACAAGCTCAATGATGAAATGTAGATGTTCAGTTTGTACTCTAACTAGAAGAACCTGCACTGTGAAATAACATCACTATAAATTTTACACTGTAGTTTAAAGCAAAATGTTCCTATTAAATTTGAAAAGTGGGTATCAATTGTTAATTGATATTTTTCATTAGTGTTGACTACAAAAAATATGAATTTATGAGAATGTATAAATATATCCATAAATTCTATAATCTGATAATTTTAAAAAAGCCAACCACTAAGTTACTAAAAATAATTGCCAAAAGTAATTATGCTACAATATACACAGCAGATGCGGAATATTCCAGTGCACAAAAATATAATTACACTCGGTTCAACAGTTAAGGTCATTATGCATAGCATACATATTGTAGACAATATGTAGAATGCTAACTAAAGCAGTCCTTCAGAATAACACAGATTGCATTAAGTGCATTTAAATGGTATATCAATGAGAACTCAATAAGGAATATACCACACTCATACAGGGAAATATAAGGAAAATACTTAACAATTACACAAGGAAAATTAATGGAAATATTTTATCTCATGAAAACAATGGGAGGATACAAGGGATAGGCCATCATAGAGAAACATGAGGGGAAGTACCACAATTAATGACATATAGGGAATACAACACAAAGATCAAAGGCTTGAGAACCAAATTAACTTAGAATAGAAGTCTAAATTTATGCTTTGACATCATAATACAATTGTACATACCTTTCATCCCAGCTTTGAGTCCTACTGAAATTGCGGGAAAATCCACCTCCTCCTCCACCACCCTCCTCGTCATAGCCACTTCTCATAAATTCTCCCCTTCCTCTACCTGAAGAACAAAAAATACACAAGTGAAATATAAATATAACTTATGGTATGAAAGTAGTATACTCTACTGTACCTAAGTGGCCACTGTGTCCGCAAAAATATAGCTATAATCAGGTCTAATTCAGTCGACTGTTAAGTGTCTGCGAGGTTTGGCCAAAGTGATGCAAGTCTACCAATTTTTCTTAGCAGACCATCAATAAACCTGATTCATCAAGCACACCTCCTTATGTTGCAATTACCATGGAATCCCATCAGCTGATGTAGTGTGAGATAGACTTACAGAGGTAAGGGTGTGACACAGACTTCATTTAAGGCATGAATTATCATTATTTCATAGTGAACTATATTGATAATGATTCTTCATCGAAGTTTTAATTATATTCATTTGAAGTACTCAGTACAGTATTTATCTCTGTACTCTACAGTATTTTGAATGAAGTATTTTAAGGTGAGATGATCCTAAAGCCTTAACAAGTTTACCTGAAAAGTTAAACAAAAAATACAGTACACTAAAGTTTCTTGTTTATGAGCACAATGATTCCATATTGGACCATTTGTTAAATATGGAAATAGCAGCAAGTAAATTTTATTGAAAAACATTTGTTCCACAGGCCTATAGATAAAATAAACATTAAAATGGCAAGTGAAATATAGGAGGAGCATTTACTTACCCCTTCCTCTAGTTGCACCCCCTCTCCCTCTCACACTTGACCCTCCTGTGCCTCTCCCTGTTAAACGTAGCACCAATGTAGAATTTACACACTGCGACAGAGCATGCTGAAAAAATATTTAATATTAATAAGCAATTAGTAGAGCTCCGCATAGTACACTATAGGAAAATTATTATACGAAGGTTAGATTTAATGCTTGCCAAGCGTCCACTAATAGAAAAATTAGTGGACGCTGGGGAATAGGCAAATAACATTGGTAGTTACAGTGATGACGTCACGATTGACTTATAATATATTTTATTAAATCTTTCCTCAGATGATGTACTGCATTTTCTTTTCATAGAATAAGAGTTTTTATAAAATGTGTACAGAATATTCATGTAACAATAGTTGACAAGCATTTTTGCAAAATGTTAGACAACTGATTACAGGTGCTACATCTCTTAAACCAACATCTGCTCAAAAATTAAATTTTGCAAAATTAACTTCTTTGCAAAAGACTCACATTCGCAGTAAAAAAATAAATAATTGCAACAGGTACAGTATCATGTCTAATAAGGAGGTACTTTAAAATAGGGCAAAAAGGATTTGTCATTATAGTTTTGGAATACCATACAGTTCACATTACAATACAGTATATCAAAACCTACCTGCTCTTCTTCAGATAAAGGGGTTAAAGCCATCGGTAAGGCACTGTCTTTCCGACATATTGAAAGAAACTCTTCCAGCCCTGAAGGCGGCTGATTTGATTTCTTGAACAGTGCTAACATCTCTTCCCGTCCGTACCTGAACTCAGCAAGCTTGAATTGTGTTATACCCGGTGAAGGTGGAGGTGATGTTACACTAGTCGTAGTACCACCGCCTGACAATGCCCTTAGCCATTGTGGACCGAAGTTCAGAGTTTCAGACATGTTAATCACTGAAAAATACAAAATAAAAGCTTGATTATTTATTCTGTTGATGCCATCTTCTAATTATGCAATCCCAAATATTATTTAATATTACTCTTTCAAGTGGTTTGACATTATTATACCTATTAGCAAACTTTTTTTTTTTGAAGGATATTTGGAAGAAGGCAGGGGTGGGGGATGGAAAGGGGTGGGGTGGTATAAAAAAACACCACTTTGTGGTGGATGTTGCATTTAGTGAGAGAATAATTTACCCATCTTCAAAATCAATCATTAAAATTAATACATGGATGTAGTTATTGTGGGCGGAGCATTGAACTTTTCTACCCAGTCTAAAGCTAGTTTCATGGCCTTCCACACACCCTTATTAACCCACTTTTCCATCCTTAAAATCCACTCTTATTATTTAGAGTTTACCAACATTATCACCCACTCACCCTTAAAATGTCTATCAACCACCCTTAGTTTTCTACAGCTACAACCCTGTGAATATCAGAATATTTTAACCTAATTGCAACTAAAGAATAAATCAATATCATTTTGAATATGAAATTCTGGAAAATACTGGGTGTGAAGTCCCTCAATCTTAACACTAACAAATCGTCACTGACACCATGAAGAGACACGAACTTCAAAAATCATATTTTTTTTCAATTTTTTTTTCTTTGACATTTTGATCATGTCCATCAAACTTCACCTTTTCACCTAATTGTTAAAGTGCAACTATTTACTAGCCATAGCACACAAATCAAGAAAAATGGCTTTTCCTTTTTACAAACACAAACTTTCAATGGGTTATCAGAAGACCTATCGTTGTGATCAGATTAATGTGGCCTGGCTGGGGTAGGGCTAGACGTAAAGATTAAATTCCCTAACTTTCCTAAGCATAGCGGTATGCTACTTGCAGTATAACATGGAATAGGCCTATACGCATGCATCCAGTGTGGAATTTAAGTAGTAAACATATAATGGTTTTAGCAGGGTAAACCTAGTCTGTAGGCCTGCATATAATCCCATTTGACTACAATATTAAGATAAAGGTGAAAACAAAGTTGTGTCTGACATGTGTCAATGTACATGTAAACAGCCTATGCTGGGTATATTTTTATCATTTTCACAAACAGACACAAACTTCTAATGCTAATTAACAGGTTAATTAAAGTAAAAGAAAAGAAAAATATATTGAACATTTGAATTGTTTAATGCTTTATCTTTAGACATACTGTATGTACAGTACAAAAATATTCAAAATTTTGATATATGATAGTGAAATGTAGGCTACAGTACGTATTTATGAAGTAGTCCACTGCAAACGTGTTTTTCTCCAAACGTTGTTTTAGTCGAAATTGAAGTTTTTGTCTATGCGTGAAATAGGTGATGAAATATTCAGTTATTAATGAATTTATATATAATGGAGTACATTTGAATACGAATTTATCGTTAAATACGATAAATTCGGTTGGAAAATCAATACTTACTTGGTATATATTTCAACACATGTATTAATTGCAAGTAAACCAGATGTGTATACCCCGCCGCAAAATGGACTGTTCAAAAATCGCCAACTACTCATGCACGTTTGCTTCTCGCTGCTCCGCGAGGAGAGCAGGCGATGCTTTGCAGATAGTTTGTATGCAACAAAGATCGGGATGAAGATAGAAGTACAGTAGCAGATTTGTTTTATGACGGGTTACAGTATTCACTACCTAAATTCCATGAAGACATTTATTTTACTACTGTGCGTATCTTACAATACAATTTAATTTACTGTATTTAAAAAAGAACTAACAAAACCTGAAACAGTGCTTAAACATTGGTCGCTTGTCAACGTTACCACGTCTGAACAATAGTGAGGAATGTGAGTTGAGTCGCATGTAAAATAAACTACACAAAGTACCACTATGCAATGTAAACGCGAGTCACTTGTCGGGCTTACTTAGCGTGTGAATTTCTGCATTGCCACTTGTCACTTGTTGACGTTCACAGTGATGTTGGTAAAGCGGCGACAGCTTAGAATGATTGAAGTTTTGTGTCAAGATTTTGACTTCGACTTAAATTTATTCGAGTTAGAGCAAATATTAACCATTGTAAATATAGGGAAGATGAAGTGACATGAGAATAATTTCGACTTTGACAATTTTTTGACTTTTTTTGGCACATTCGAATAGGCGAGTTAGACTGTACAAAACTTAGCCCTATAAAACTATCAGTGAAAGAATGTTAGATATCTTTTCAACTAAATTTAGAAGGGTTTTAAATCCGAGATAAAGAAAACAATACATTATAAAGCTTGGTTTCCATACAATCGCTACACGCTATGGCCGAATCGGGAAGCCTTCCCGATAGCGTCGGTGACTGCTACACAGTACAACGGTTGCACTGAAAAAAACTGTAGCGACAGCGTAGCGATTTTATGGAAACCAGGCTTTAGACGATTACTGAAATTAATAATTAATTAATTTTTTATGAAAGGTCAGTTTTGAAGAGAGAATCGAAAATAACGTAACATTACAATCTATACACATAATGCAATTTAAAACTTATAAAATTAAATTAAATTATATCCAAGCATTTAATTAGGCACTGCTGGAAAAACGCACTCAGTAATTTCATGGTAAGTGGGTGCACTACAATCATAACCTTAAGGATTACAGTATCTGAAAATTACTATTACGCATTAGTTATGATTCTGCACAAAATTTTCCTTGTTCTTTTGTGTAAATTTAACTTAGTTTTTAATATCCTGGGTGGAAATAAATTAATACTAATATGGCTTAAGCAGTAAATGAAATGCACACATTGACGTGTATGATGATAACACAGACAATGGCTGCCAAACTTGCATGGAATATCTGCAAGAAAATAAGTGCACAGAATTGTAACTACTGCATAATACAATTTTTTATATATTGGCCAAGACCTACAAAATCTACACAGATATCAGCCCTAATATTTTCTGAAATGCGCAGATGGATTTCTAGGCCAAATTTTGTGCTGAGTTACACTCTAGGCCTAAAATAAAATTGAATGAGTAAAGATCTATTTACTATTTTGAGCCATACCCTAGCCTAGATCACCATTAAATCGCATGCCTTATGTTATAGCCCCTCCAATTACTGTAGTTACATTGCGCCGCATATCGGACTCTCTTTAGTCATCCCCGTTTCTCTTTTTTCCTGCTTTGTTAAACTACTTGATTTTTATTGTTTTAATGTTTTTATTATTCGATATCTAGACTGCAAGAGTTTATTAATATCTATAAATTTATATATTTATTGTTATGTATTGTTACTTTGGGAGTATGGAATCTTAACTTTTGTTACAGTGATTTAGTTCACTTTTTGGTTCCTGCCTACTCCCTGAGTTGACTGTATGTGTTTGTTTTTTATTGTTTCTGGCAATAAAGAATAGGAATTAAAGATTAAAGTATTTTAATTGCATGGATGATATATCAAAACTAGCTCAAACTTGCGTGGAAAATCACTAGGGAAATAGGTGCGCAGAATCGCAATCACTGCATATAATACATGGTTAGGCCTATCTATATATTTAAGAGAAATCTAATCCTAATATTCAGAAAAATTTGTGACAAAATCGGCCCTGATTTTCTGAAATGCGCGGACAGATTTCTAGAGATCAATTTGGCGCAGAAGATATATTCCCAGTGCAGGCCTCTGCAGTCTGTAGTTAGGCTGTATAATAAGGCCATATTTATGCCAACCATTGGCACCCAGTGCACTGCTTAGCTTAGGCTAGATAGTCTGAGGGCCCCATCAGCATGTGTAATGTAGGATAGGCCTAGGGCCTAGGCTTATAGGATTCTTAGGTAGGCTAGGGCTAGATACATAACGTACGTACTGCAAGCAGCAGTTCAGGCCTAACTAATAAACTAGTGTAGGCCTAGCCTAGGCCTATAAAAAGATCGGTTTATAATCGTAATTCAATATGCTTTATACTCAGAATGCTGTACTAAAATAGGATTAGTAAATATTAAGTTCAGACATGTTAATATTTCTAGAATATTTGTCGAGAAGTAACAGCACTATTTTAATATAAAAAAAAATCAACATGGACAGAAATTGAGTAGGCATCAACCAGTGAAAAGATCTGGCCAGTGTGAGAGACAGCAGTGCAGAGTGGCCTGCGCAGTGCTGGCCACTCCGGCTCAGTTTTTATGTCGACAGCTCAACTGATCCACCTACAGCTAGCGATAATAATATCCTGTTTAAATAATATCTTAAATATGCTATACTACTCACATTCAGAGAAATTTGACCGACAATGTAATAAAATTGTGTAAAAATGTCTCGGGATTACTAGGACGAAAGTCACTTCGCAGGATTCAATATGGCAGACAACCTACATGTATGTTATGTCACATGACCTCCATTGGCCTATCATATTTTTCTACCCCGGATGAGGAAAACCAAGGAAAACTACACAGTAGCATATTTTCAGTGTGCCCAGCCTACCGTGGCAATGAACTTCAACACGTTTACGGAATAAAATCTTAATTATAATACTGTCTAACTTTCTGAATTATCTTACCACGATCTGAAATCTGGATATAAAAAAAGATTGACAAAGGCTGTTTAAAATTAAAGATGTACCGCTAGTGGTAGAATTAAAATAATTAAATATAATTAAAAATTAATTTTAAATACGCAAAACGTTATTACAGTAAAACCACTCCATTGCGACGCCACTATTCAGGGGACACCCTTATTGAGGGAACACTTTACTGTGAAATGAGGTTAAATATATCTTTTAACACTACAGTCAACCCTTATTAAGGGGACACCCATATTAAGGGGACGGGGACAATTTTTTGAGTGTGCAGAGTTTTCAAATTAATACAATTTCACCCCTATTAAAATATCGAGCCTTCTATTGGATGCACAAGGTAGAATTAATTAATAGCCTGATCTTACCAACTTAGAAATCAGGGCAGGCTGTCCGGATATATTAGAATCCTATTATGAAAATACACAAAACAAGAAATCTCCATGGTTATGGTCAAAATTGACAAGATTTTATTTATACAGAGTAACACAATGCACTAGGCATCCACTGCTCATTCTAAGGATGGAAACAATAGGGAACACTTTATAAAATTATTTATTGTATCAAAACAGCTACAGTAGTCACAAAATAAAGAAAAAAAATCATTCAAATTTATTTTGACACCTTTTGAGCAATAAACTTAACAAAACCATAATAAAAAAAAAAGAAAATTTAACATTAACATTGCACTCGAATAAAGAAACAATATTGGAAACATACAATTATTTTGTAGTTTTAATTACATACCTGTTAATTTCAATTCTTAAATAAATTATTTTTCTATTGCAAAATTATTGTTAAGTTAGTTATAATTAAACTATAACTCATTCTTAGGTAAAAAATAAAATTATAAAAAATCTATGTCATCATTATACGAAAACATGCCAAAAACCCATATTAAGGGGACAAAATTTGGTTAGTGTCCCCTTAATAGGGATACCACTATAAAGCAGAGGACACTCCCATTAAGGGGACACTTTTTTTGGTCCCCAAGGTATCCCCTTGATGGGTTCTACTGTAAATTAGCTTGTTAAAACACAATCAAATTAGCTTTCACTATATACAAATATAAGCTTACTACAAACATTCTTGAACCAATTACGGTACACGTTATTGGTGAAGACAAATTTTTTTCACATTGTACCGTTAATTTGCAATTAATTAGTTTTTTTTTTTATTGTGAAAACAAAATAAATTCACACTCTTGATCTCTGTTTTTTGCAATGCATTAAAGACTATGTGCTGTCCAATTACGCATGCGCAAGTGTGCGGTATTAGTTGCATTAATTTTAATTTATTTATTTATTATGACACTTCACATTCGTATCGGTGGTACTTACAGTCAGTGGTGCGGTCTTACAAAATACACAAAAGAAAAAGTGAAAAGAATCTTAACATTAAAAATCAATACTTAACTAAAAAAACACCAAAACTCCAATGGAACAGTTTTAACAAAATAATCAAAAGAAATCAAAAAGGAAAAGAAATATACTTCATGCATATGAATATATCAAAAGCATACACATGTAAATGTACCATATATGATGTATATACATCAGGGAACCCATATGCAAATATATATACATACAGACATACTACATGCAGTACATATACACACATATCGGTACAATCCGAGTTGATTGGCAGGGCGGTTAAGTCAGGGGCCCCGTAACCTTCAGCTCTATGATCGGCACTGGTTCGAACGGCTCACTCGCCAAATGGTTCCGGTGGTGGAACAAGTCTTCTCGAGTCGTAAGGACTTCAAACAGGCCCAGTGGCTCGTGTACCATAGTATTAGCAATATTTTTAAAGTATCTAGGCTTACCATCCTTTATTGTTGCCATTTGCTTGAGAAGGGCGCATCACGTTCCTCTGTTATTTGTGATACATAAACGACTAGTGCAGTCGAGTGGCGCCAAAAAAAAAAAGTTCATACCCCCCCCCCCCCACCCGGTGAGAGCGCAGGCACTGTATCCATTACGATAACATTTTGTGCTAAAATTTGATAAAGTAGCTGGTCGATTTCCACGGGAAAAGTCTATTCGAAAGCATCATTTGTCTTCTAAATCATATTTAAACATGAATTTGATTGGTTTAGTAGTTACATAGGATCAATCAGATTTATGAAGTCCATTGAAAACTTCTCCCGAGACGCTTATGCATTACAAGCATATACCATAATGATGATCACGATACAGCGATCTCTTAAATACCAGAAAAATGACTACATTATCCATATTTTTAAACACATGATCACGCTAGAGAAAAAAATAGCGATTCTTATGACGTTTTAAGGAGTAAATATATTTTTCTTTTATATCAAACTGTACCACAACTAGTGGCGGACCGTAGGGTAAATTGCAGGGTATGCCAAGCATTGGTATATCTAGGATGTGGACCACCACCCCCTCAACCATGAAATAAAAAATACTCGCCCATCCCCCAGTCGCGCCCTGCACCCACAAATCATGCTCACTTAGTTAAAAATCACCTCAAATTTATTTTGCGATTTATCCCCCTCACCTAATCCCCTACTTTACCTTCCCACCCATATCAGCCCCCTCCCATTTCAAGACCCCTACGCCACTGATGCTCGGGCCTGCTAGTAGTAAAAGTTCGTAAGCCTACTACTATACAGAATCAGATTGCTAGCCAAAATACAAATGTAGACCTATGTTCTTTTAATACCGGCATGGTATAGTATATCTTCTCTTCAAAATAATTAATATTCCTGTATTTTAACAAATTTCAATTTAAATAATAATAATAATTCAAAGTTTCTTCTATACCGGTCATGTGTATGCAAATTTACTTAAACTTAAATCATTGAGATTATAGATAGAATACCCGATCGGCAGTGGAGGTCCTGATTGTGGAAGAAGAGCATGCGCACATACTCTTGGAGAAACCGCTTCCATTCCAGTACAGTATTAAATTGGCTATTCTGACGCCACCACAAGTTTGCCACAATGTTTGATATCTGATATTAGCATTAATTTTGATATTACTCTCGAAATAATGGCCAAGAACAATAAGGCCCCAAGAAGTGACAATATAACAAATGAGCTCCTGAAAAATGGTGGCTCTATATTGCCAAATTCTTTATTGCAAATGTTTGTAAGGTTATAACTTGAAGATATACCAAGTGACTGGAATAAGAGTGTAATCATACCTTTGTATAAGTCAGGTGACCATAAAGACGTAAATAATTATAGAGGTATAGACCTATCACTTACCTCATGCGCGTTGCAAAAAAACCGCATTTTAAGTAAATCGGTTAATTCCTTTTAGAACACAATAATGTTCTCTCGGAAGTCATTTAGTTAGAAACAGGAGAAAGCTCTTTGGACATTCTTGGTTCCCAAGAGCTCTGCTCTATCAATTCTGTGATTTTCATTTGTTTTTAGTTAAGAGTTCATGTGTGTTTTTATATGTAAAAAGGTAACTATGATCACGACCCACCCAAAAAAAAAAAAATCCTGGATACCCTGCCCCTACAGTAGAATATCTGTCACAATGTAAGCGATTCACAGGGGCGGATCCAGGGCCAAAGGGGGGGGGGGGGGGAGTGCCGAAAGTAGGGCCGATCGAGACAACACTGTTCTAGGGGGGTCCGGAGCATGTCCCACAAAATAGTTGTGCTCTAGACGCCCGAAAATAACATTTGAGGCGTTCTGGGCTATCATTTTTTTCCTTTTCTTCTTTTTTTTACCTCCCAAAAAGGGGGAATCCGCCCCTGATTCATGCCTTTTTTGCTTCACTGATTAAAAGAAAGTTTAGGGACCGGAACCCAGTCTAGTCTTTTGCATGAATCAAGGATCATATTTAGCTAGTACAGCATGTTGTCAAGAATGTTAATAACAATAATGATAATGATAATGACATATTCGTTATTGTATTCGTAAGGCTGCGAAAACTCCCTATTTATAAATAGCTCGTAGGCCTACCAAAAAAACTATAAATATTTACTCCTTATAATTAGCCTAAAATTGAATGGAGAGAGACTAGTGGTCTTAGACCTATGTTCTAAACGGTATTCCCACCAGAGACCATTTTCACGAACAGCTATAATAGAACTAGCCTATATTTTATAAGTATATATATTCACGCTTAATGGCGATCATCAGACAAATATAAGCCTAATATAAATATACTTTATTACACAATACACACACACACATATTTATATAATATATATCTTTATAATACATATTCCCATGAATAACATTATCTTTATTGATTTTTAAATAGTGAAAACTGTATATTATATTGGAGGGCCTATTAAAATACAAAATAATAACTATCATACCGACTGTACCGAAGACTAACTGATAACGCCAAACCCGTATGAAACATGACGTCATCGTCGATATCGCCATTAGTACAATTTTCTGTCTGGGTGGAGAGTATTTAGCCGGTAAAATCTTCCAAATATACCAAAAATGTAAGTTATTCAACACTGAGAAGACCACTTTTGAAACTGGTTTTGTCGTGCATTATTTGTGTAGAATTTTATGAGTTTAATTTGAATATAAGATATTTATTTTGGCAGACAAATTGTTACTGAGTGAGGAGCTGTAGAAAGAGGTGATGAGGGAATGGATCGTTCACATACGATCGCGCCCTGTTCATTCTGTACAATCTTTTGGGTGGAGGGGCTTATTTTGTTGGCGAATCCAGTTTGTTGTATTTTTGTAATTTTACCCATGGCTTGTTTCATTTTATCTTCCAAATGTATGTGTGCGTAATTTGCTATAAGAGATATCTTTGTCTGAAGCAAACAAACCTTGGCTTGGCTTAAATAATTGTCAATGAATGACATTTTTTTGATCATCAGCAGGGTTTGAATCATTCATTCGTTGATGATCGCATGATGATTAAAATTACCCCTACCCTAGGCCTACCTATAGGCCTGAGCAAGGGATAGCGAAGTATATTTGTAAACTGTTAGGCTTAGCGTTATGATAGTTCTACATTATTCAAAGCAAAATATATCTAGGCCTATTGATTATACTCTAGTCTAGGCCATCATTCTGAACCCAAGTGAAGTGGACATGGATTTTGTAATTGTAGTAAAAAAGTATAAATAACATAGGCCTAGGCCTAATTTGAATTACCTTTTTTACTGTAGTTTACAAACATATACAGCCCTTCAAAGTTTCACTAATTTGGCGTGAGACTCGAGAATTTGGGGTGTCTCGCACTTGAAACATGACGTTTTTTTTGTGCAAGTTATTTTTCATCCAATTTGTTTTATTTATGTCCTATTTCTATGTACATTAGGTGAATGACAGTCCCTTACACAAAGACAAAAAAATTCAGTTACACACATGATGCTTTGGACAAACTAAAACTCAGTGTTTAAAATGTAGGTTAGGTACATTCTGCAAAGGGATTATATTCTTACAGTAGGATCCATAACTGCAGATCAACAGGGGGGCTGTATGGACCAGTACATTGGGATAACCCCCCTACAGTACTACTTGTCTCGAAAGATGCTGTGTAAGTTGGTCAATTGTGCACACATGGCTAAGGTAGGCCTACTGTATTAGTCCTTATCCAAGAAGACTGTTTTACTGTACTGTACCACCAGAACCATACATGTAGACGAGCGTGCCAATTGAATCAGTGCTGGTATTATGGCTTTAGGTTGCAGCATCCCTACCTTAACCGCTTGACCATTAAAATTGCTGACATTGCTGACACGAAGTTGAGCACAGGAACTTGGGATTAGTGTTTCCAGGGTTACAGGAATAATACTTCAGAAATGTGTGGTTTGCAAGGTTGTGGTCACGATAAGAATCTGAAACCGACTTTTTCAAAATTTTAGGATGATATTTACAAAATAATAAATATGTGTAGTTAATTATATTTAGTGTAACTCATTTCAAAAATCTTCCTGGATTTGTCCAATATGTTACTAAATTTTGAAATCATTGTATGAAATAATTTTGAGTCGCTCCCCTTTAATACTAATGACTCAGTCAAAGAATATTTAGTCACAAGTCTAAATAAGAGGGTTTAGCCTAATGGTTGTTATCATAACTAACAATAACATTACAGTATATCAGAGCCTAACCATGTACTATTATCTACATACAGTAGACTACCAGCAGTTCTTGAGAATTCAGTACTGTACTGTAAGTTCATGATTACACTTGGCTATTTATTATACTGTACCAAGTCTTTTTTGAGTTTAAATTAATTCACATCAAACAGCAATACTGTAGGCTGTCTTAATCATTAGAACATCATTTTACAACCTTGCAACAAATAAAAAAAATCCATATTATATGTATATACAGTATGTGTGTGTATATGTGTGTGTATATGTATGTGTGTGTTTATGTATATATATATATATATATATATATATATGTGTATGTGTCTGTGTATATGTGTATATATATATGTATATATATATGCATGTATATGTATGTATGTATATGTGTATATATATATATATATATATATATATAATATATATTGTGTAAACGACGACTCCAGAATTTTACCTCTGTGTTCAGTAGTTATTAAAAAAAAAACAACAAATTTTACAGTAAAACATTGTTGGACTGAAATTTTAAAAGTTTTAAATTTGTCAACAGATTAATTTTAATTCTTTTTTAAACATGCTGTTTTATATCTATGGGAATACATTTATTAAGTACCACATTTTTAATCTATTTCAGCCTATTCAAAATTTTAGAATTATTTTAAGTCGTTTTCTACGCAGTGTTTTAATTCAGTACAGTATTTGAATTTATTTGTTACCGTTTGTTATTTTATTTTAAGTTCTATGTTGTATGTTATACTTTTGTGAATGCACCGTCATCGTGTGCCACTGTTTTAAAAGTGAAGTTTCAAATAAAGATTATTATTATTATTACTTCTACAGTGTAGATATTTACCATTTCTACATATCTTTATATCCTTAATCATATACAGTAGTTGAGATATTTAAATCTTTCAATTCATACTGTAGTACCGTAATAACAAACATTTTTTGAGGTTCATTTGCCTAGAGTTGAGTGTCTACAGTTATGATGGTTAGTTACCAAAATCAAGTAATAAATAATCCATTACTACTCTGCAAAGAATTCTGTACATTCTCCAGACTTTTTTTTTTACAAGTTATTACAGTACAACCCTCCTATTAAGTGTCTTTTTTGCTAAAAAAGATTCTATAGTACATACAGTATTTTTTTTTAATGATAAACAAAACACACACTTCACACTACGAAATGTTGCCAAATGTAACAAAGAATTAATTAAATTGATCGTAATGTGATTAATAATAATTGTAGTCAAAATAATTATGTAAACAATAGTAATAATTGTAGCTTAATAATTACAGTTGAATTTGCCGAATCCAAAATTACCATTGAAATATTGTTCGACTTGGATAAAATTCGACTTACAGCTTGTTAATTAATGGAAAACATGGCGTGTAAAATAAGATTGACTTAGTAATTATTTGCCTTAGGCACAGTCGACTTAGGCAAGTTTAACTGTACGTGTTATTTTAAGGATTAGTGATGTGACTTGCACATTAAAAGAACGATGTTACCATACACAGTTCAAAGATTTTCTTACTGTAGCATCTACTGTAGTTAAAAAAGAACACAAATTAAAACAGGAAATTTTATTGGCTAAAATTATTATGTGTGGATGTATTATAATGAGGAAAATGGGATTGCACCAGAGTCTTCCGCTGAAATGGTGGTCCGTAGAGTGGAAGAGCCATAGTAAGTCTCATAATCGCAATCAATAGTAATTTGCATAACCTTGCCAAGCACTCAAGTTTGGCCTACATGAAGCCAATCAATCTATTATGGAGCCAATGACCTTTGACCCCATGACTTAGTTATTCCAGCAAAATTAATGCTTATGAACATTATTTGTCATGTTGAAAAAGATCTATGGGCTTCTTGTCCTGTACCACCAATGGTGAAGTACTGGTAGGAGTTTAGACATGAGGAGAAGGCTGATGAGGGGGGAGGGGAGTGTGAAGGCTAAGGTAGGGGGAGCTAGGTTTGAGTGAATAAATAGTGAATTAAGGTGAAATGATTTAGTGATTATATTTAACTTTAAAATGCATTTTTTTTTTGTTCAGAAAACTTTTAGATGCTTTACAGTATGGTGGTACCCTTTTTTTGGTGGTGGAGGGGTGGTGGCCTTTGACTTCTTATTCAGGAAACGTGCGAAACCCATTCACCTCTAACACACCATGTCTCCCATACCCCTTTTATTTGGGTAGCCTCAGAGTTACAGTAATGGGTGTCTATGACATGCTTACTATAGGCCACTCTCTACAAATTTAGCATTACAGTACATTCTTTTCTTCCTCTAAAGACCCCTTCAAGAAACCTGATGGGACTTTATAGTTCAACAGTGGACATACTCATCTTTAATACAGTCTTCCCAATATCCACATTATACAGTACTGTACAGTAGTTGTATTGTAATGGTTATTTGGAAGGTGAACATTTTACAGGCTTTATTAATTAACCAGAACAAAAATTGTGTGTGTGGCATGAATGTTGATGGATCTAAGCCCACACTGTGTATTGTTATTATACAGGGCTGCCCCAGCACCAGCACCGACAGGACCACCGCAAACAGGAGGCGCAGTACCTAACAAAAAGCTACAACAAACACAAGCACAAGTTAATGAGGTATGCCTACTTTTCATTGCCTTAAATTTTATTATAATTTAATATTTAATTATAATTGATTGATCGAATTGATTGTATTTATTCGTAATCAGAGTCATAAAATACATACATAAAAAGCGAATTTACCAAAAACTGACAGATAAAAATTGTACAAAAACATGACTCTAATCGCAAGTCTAACAATTTAAACTTATTTCCATTGGGGCCCTTACAAACACAGATATATACAGTAATTGTACATTTTATCAAGATGACAGGAAAATAAGCAGTTTAAAAGGCATGACTAATTCAATATGAAACATGTCTTTTTACCAGGTTGTAGACATCATGAGGGTGAATGTTGACAAAGTGTTGGAAAGAGATCAGAAGCTATCTGAACTGGATGACCGTGCTGGTTAGTTGATATTTAATCTTCAACCTTTCTATTTTATTCAAAACTACTCTGTAAGCACAACGTTTCTGCTTCAAATCCAGCAATGACCGACCAGTAGTAGGTTTACAGTAACATCTCCCAATTACAAACCTCCCAATTTATGAACTCTCGATTTTACGAATCGAACTTGCAGCGATGATGTTACAAACTATTGTTTTTAACTACAAAAGCACTTTAAAGACATTGAAACCAATATTAAGTGATATAAAACTAAGTTTAAAGCAAGAAATATCAATCCTTTCCAGCCCAGATATTTTAGCTGTGCATGCTTGTTCAGGCATACTGCACAGGAAATCTCAATTTTTGATCATTGGGGGCGCTATTCACATGGATTTCGATCTTTATGAAGAGAATAATAACGGCTTGTTTTGGGGATCATATGGTCATGTTTTCATTCAGAAATCACTTCAAATGAATACTTCACAGTGAGCACAGGTAATTCTGGCTTCTGTAAAGTATTATTTTGTTGCAGAAAACGGTAAAATCTAAGTCATATTTCGTGAAAAAATTTCTCTCCCATGGCAAGGCTTAGGCCTAACTAGCCCTGTACTGTACTGTACTTTGAAGCACAGGCCTAGGCCTAGCCCCACCACACTGCACTGAGACACTCTGAATTATGAATTTTCTTATTTACGAACCCTGTTCGGACAGAGAGTACGTTATTGGGAGATGTTACTCTATGTGGAAATGTACAGTAGGTCAAAGCAGTATGTGCCAGTTCATGATCCTTGACATCAATAGCGAATTATGATCATGTTACATTTTTTTGAAATTTGAATATCACATGTTTAGATAGTGAAGGGAATGTAAAACGCTTTACACTCACTGTGTTGGCAGCTGACAATTCAATAAAACTATGATAGATGACACATTATAATAGCGATGGATAGTTTTCAGTGACAATCACTAGTGGTCAGTCGGCTGGTGTTGGCAATGCAGATGAATTTGTTGTCTACAGATTGATGGCTGCAATGATGGATGGACAGTCAGCTGACGCAGGAATACACAAAGTGGTATTCTTGTAGGTAGCCAACAATTCTTGTGTTGCACATTCTAACCAGCATATTGTAACACAGCAGTAACAGGGGCTCTTACATTTCACAGTTATAGGGCCAAGGTGCCCATAGTCTTGGTCTGGTAAGGGTCGACATCCTATTGGGGTTCCAGGAGGCTTTCACTCAAGATTGCATTAAACTTATGGTCAACACCTTTATTTACATTGCTGTTGTGTACATTTGCAGATGCTCTTCAGCAGGGTGCTTCGCACTTTGAGAAGAATGCTGGTAAATTGAAGAGGAAGTATTGGTGGAAGAATTGTAAGATGATGATTATTTTAGCTGTAATTGTTATTGTAATCATTATCATCATTGTAGGTAAGTATCTCTTATTTTTAAGTTAATGTATCTCTTTACACTTGGTAGCTAGCTCACGATCTGACTGTTCATGAGCTGTATTACAATCTGATAAATACAAAAAATACAAAAATGAACTTGAAAAAGAAATTACCAACATTAACTCTTGAAGAATAATGATTCTAAAATGATAATACTGTATAGTCATAGTATATAATTTTATTTATAATACAATTTTACAATATAAAAGTATAATATAAATAAAATATATAAATATAATATATCTTATAAAAATATATCGTATAAAATATAATATCTTATAAAAAATATATCTTTTTATCTTAAAAAAACATATTGATCAAAGGCTATTAATGAAAATGTTGATAAACCCCAACAATTTTGGAAAACTTTAAAAAATATTACTGGTAATGACAAAAAAGAACTAATCAGTTTATTATATCTGGGAATGAATTAATCTCTGATGAATTTGAAATTGCCAACAAATTTAACTCTTATTTCTCTTCCTTAGCACAACAACTTAATAATAACTTATCCCATAATTCTAACCATACAGTACTAACAATTTTGACTTTTATAATCAATTTAATTTTGAATTAATTTTACCTGAAGAAGTCTTTGATCGTATTAACTCTTTCCAAATAATAAAGCTTCTGGTGTTGATGAACTTGATCTAAAATTAATTAAGAGTGCTTCCCCCATTATTTGTCATCCTATTGCTCATATAATAAATCTATCTTTAACTACAGCAAATTTCCCATCAGCATGGAAAATTGCCAAAGTTACTCCTGTATTTAAAAGTGGTGACAGACTAAACACTGAAAATTTTAGACTGATTTCTGTTTTACCTATACTGTGCAAATCGCTTGTGTCCTTGGGCAAGGCACTTTATCTACGGTTGCCTCTCTCCACCCAGGAGTACAAGTGGGTACCTGGTTGGTTCCAACACAACTGCGCTGATTACAGCCGCAATATTATGGAATAATAATATAATTTAACTTAATAATGTAATTTGGTGTTCAATGTGTTCCATACCTGTTTGATCCAATGACCGGGGTAGTAATGTGAAGTGCTTAGAGGCTTTGTAAAGGTATTAAGCGCTATATAAGAACGACATTATTATTATTATTATTATTATTATTATTATTATTATTATTATTATTATTATTATTATTATTATTATAAAATCATTGAAAAATTTGTTTTTAATCAACTTTACTCTTTTTTAACACATAACCATATAGTTACCAATTGTCAATCTGGTTTTAGGCCATTTCATTCTACTAATACTGCACTTATTAATGTTTCTGAACACATTTCTAATAATCTTAACAATGGCAAAGTTACTGCTGCTATTTTCTTTGACTTAAAGAAGGCTTTTGACACTGTTAACCATACTATTTTAATTAACAAACTTAAACAATATGGAATCAGAGGCACTACTTTAAAATGGTTTTCATCATACCTTTCTGGATGATCTCAAGTTGTTAAAATTAAATCCAAATTATCAGATCCTAAAGATATCTCTATTTGGTGTCCCTCAAGGATCAATTCTTGGCCCCCTTCTTTTTATTATATATAAACTCCCTGCCTGAAATTATCACTCCCAGTTCAAAATGTGCAATTTTTGCAGATGATACTAGTGTTCTTTATTCTGCCTCTGATCCAAACGAATTACAATCTATCATTGACCAAAATGTAGCCAATATAGCTAAATGGTTTAATATAAATAAATTAACAATTAATTTTATTAAAACCAAATTTATGGTATTTTGTTTCCCAAAATTTTCAAATATTTCCTTATCTATAAACAGTCATGTAATTGATAAAGTTGATAATTTTAAATACTTAGGAATTACCTTTGACACTTTCTTTACATGGGATAATCATATTGAGAATTTTTGTTCCAAAATTTCTCAACGCATTGGTGATATTTTTTACCAAATTCTTCTCGTAGACTTTTAGCCATTTTTGTATTACCTTTTTTTAAAACTATTGTAGTACTGTATGGTCCAATTGCACAGCTGCGCACCTTAACTTTACTCCAGGTTTTACTGAGGCCTAGTTCAGACTAGGTGGATAAACCCGGCTCAACTCACCGGGTTTATCCACCTGCCAGTCTGAACTAGCTGGCTTATCTCAAGCCAGGCTGTGTTCCTATAGTAATTAGGCCTGGCGCGCCACCGTGTTTAACTTTTCTAAGCTGTGCTTTAATCGTTGCGGGGGGTCGTGCATTGACTTCGGGTGATGAAATGACCAATCAGCATTCAATTACGTACGCTGTGAGCGAGCGTACGTTTCGCAAGTAATGTTTTTGAAACTCGTTTCCTGGTTACGGTTCATTATTATGCAAATTCTCGCCAGGCTAAATCCGCTTGTCTGAACACCCAGCAAAGTTAAGCCGGGCTTAACGTTGAGCCAGTCTTAACTCAAGCCTGGCTTATCTACCAAGTATGAACGTAGCCTAAATAGGCTAGCCAGAATTATTGTTCATGCTGATATTATTAATGACCTTATGGAATCTCTTAACTGGAAGGATGTAAACCAACAATGGGAACATACTATTCTTTTAATGACATTTAAATGCTTATTAGGTACTGTTCCTGAATATTTTAATAATTATTCAGGATTCCATATAGCCGGGAAACATGTATTTAGTAGAGAAATCCAAGTGTAACAAATAAAATTAGGGGTATCTCTCTCCTCCCTTGAGCAGCTATAGCATGAGCTAGTAAGAGTCAACTTTAACAATAATAACTTACTCAGTTAAGTGCATTCTTAAGAGAGAATGCTCATGATCCTGTGGTTATAATTGATGAACCTAAGCCTTCTGTTGCAAAAGCCAATCATTCCCAAAGGAACACAGTGCATGCTTAGGTAATCAGTGAATCACACAGAAGTAAAAACAGAAAATATGAAATATATAAAGCAAATTAATTTATGTAGGGTAAGGAATCTTTCCTAATTAGCTAGATTATAGTAGAGTTAAAATCATTATATTTTTTTGTTTGTAATTTGATAAAAGAAATGTTAACTTGAAAGAAATTGTAGGAGCAAAACTGATGGTTAAAGTATACTAACTGAAACTTTGAAACTTTGGAACATTACAATCCTAAGGACAGTTCTCCTCAGAATCAAATACCATCAATTAAGATTCGTAGCAAATGCCACATGGTGGGATGAAAACCTATAATTAATTATTGAAGATGTTTTGGTCGAGCCGAACTTGTCAGAACAGGCTGTAAAATAAGTAACAATACAAACGTGACTCAGAACACTGGGTTGATTACAAAACATGCTGGTATGCCTACTGTTAACAATTGATTCATTTATCAGAAATTCTAGCAGGTTACTGTACCAGAGATGCCTCATTCACTCCACAATTGGATCTAGCAACATGCAGTGATCACATCACTGTACTTATTGACCTATTATCGGCCAGCCTCATAATTAGGATTTAATAGACTACCTTGCTACGATCAGGTGTCGTTCTGTATTTACCGATCAATATAAAATGGATCAACCCACATGCTATGATCACATTACTGACTGAATTTATAGATATTGGCCTCATACTCTGGATCCTTTTGGAATACTGGTTGATCCATGCTATGTGCTATGTTTAGTCCAGTGCTCAAACATGGTGTGACTAATGCCAGGTGCAAGTGTCTACATATACCCTACGTCAGCCAGTAAAATTAAGTCTCATAGATTGGATCCACCAGCATGCTAATAATCATGCAATCATTCAATCTGTAACTATAATGTTTAGAAGTTAGTACTTTGATATATTGTAGAACTTCGTTTACCCATCATGCTTCATTACCTAGCTCACTATCACACATTCATCTAGTGTACAGTAGCTGTTACTTATCCTAATTTCCATGCTTTTTTACCAAAAATAGACTATTAGCACTGCCACCACCACCATCACCAGTATTACACTGATAATGCTCTACTCTCTCAATAATGGAACTAATTGGGATATAAAAATTGTATTTCATGCATGCATTTCCACTGCACATTACAAATCATGAAATTTTTTGTCTTTCTCTCAATTACGTGTCTTGTAGTCTGGGCGACAGGAGGGAAATAAGGTTGGTAGTTGCTGGGACACGGTCAGCTGCTTTATGTTCTATGTTACTGTACAGTTTTGCATGCTTTGATCTGTGTATTCCAACACTGTAATGTACTTCACAATGTCATTTGATAACCTGTCACAAGCATTATTTAAAAATGTCACTTCTTTTTAAACTCCTTGTATTTTATATGAACTAAAATGCTAAAAAAAATTTAATTGAATACTGTATAGCGCAATGAGGAGGGTATTGTTTTTTGTATAAAATGACAAAAATGATTACTGATGTGTTGAAGGGTGGAGATATGGAAAAAATACCTTGGATACAGATGTTAGAGGTGGGCTGGGAAGAATAATAGATCCTAGCCTTGTCCACCTTACTTAATCTAAATACAGTACTGATATGTTGTGAGACATTTGATGTGGGACTGGACCTAACAAAAAAATGTTCATGTTAATATTGGTCTCAAATCTCTATTTTTTGTCTATTTGTGATTATACAGTACAGTACCTTCTTTTACTTGTACAGTACAACATTTGATATTATTTGAGCTGCCATTCATGTAATTGAATTTTAAGTTTGTAAACTACTGTATGTAATTTTAAGTTATTAAATGTTTTATAGGTTCTCTCCTTACACTATTTGAACCAACTTTCTTATGAGCTCACCTAAGCACAGCATGTGATTTAAATACTGGTTACCTGATTCTTGGTGTACATTGCACTGTCATGTCTTGTTTATTTTGTATTCATGTCCAGTACTTTCTTTCATTTAATTGCATATAATGGCTATTACAGTATTACCACTGTTAGTGGTGATGAATTATTTGAGCTATTGAAAAATATTATGTAATGGTGTCATTTCTTATGTTATTTGTTGTTATAAACCTGTTTATTTTACAGTAGATGCCCTTGTAGTGAACGTGTTGTTTTTAGTATATAATATAGTAAGAGTAGCTAACTCCAACAGCAGATAAATATGTAACTGCTTCACGCTGCAGTCTGAGAACTATTCTGATTGCTCTATTGATTAGTTAATTGATCGAATGATTAGTTGGTTGATTGATTGACATTTTCCTTGTTGCATGTGTGGAAAGACACAAACCATTTTTCAAAAGAAAATTATAATAAGGGAAAAGAATACAGTACTAACATTTTTCACTAATAAAAAAAAAAATTATGAAACATGACACATTGAACACTCACCATATTAATCAAAACAAAAAACAGTAGACACCAACGTCCAAATGCTAATTCTTATGTTTAAAAAAAAATTACATTTTTTATTTTCTTTTTTAGTTGCCATAGTCACCAACACATAGAAATGAGTTTCTGTTGTAGAAGAATCTAATCGAATCAGCAGATAGAGTGGAGTAAGGGATCAACTACCAAACAAACTGGAAGTTTATTCTGAATCGGAGCGTCAAATAGGAAACTATTATATCTTGTATATTTATGAAACTTTATCAATTATGCATATGTAAAATATTATAGTAAACTGCTGTGTTAACATAAAGATTTGAATAGTACATTGTACCAACACCTGTATGTAAATGTATGTTAATTTCCTTCATGTATATTCATTTGAATATCTGGACTAAGAGGTATTAGAAAGTAGTTACCTTATTTGAATTTTTTTTCAATTATTATTTGTAGAATTAATGCAGATTAATTAATTTATGTCAATTAAAATCTCATAATCCACATCCAGGAGAAAAGATTGTCAATTAATTGCTTGAATTAATTAATGTTAATTAATTTTGATGAAAAATTTATTTAATAATTCTTATTGCATATAATGTGTTCATTGTTTTTTTTTGTTCCTGTGGTAGTATTTGGAAACAGTTGTATGAAAGTATCACCAATTTTCAAAGGATTAATATTTTGATCCGTATAAACACTGATTGATGTTGTACAGAGGTTAGTATAATTTTTATATACTTTCTCTGTTTTTTCAACAAAATCATACCATGATTTCGTATCAGTATAAGAAAAATTGAACAAATTCATTGTATAACAAAAAGTTCCAAAATAAATTTTTGTTTTTATCCACACAAAAAAATTAAAAAAAAAACAAAATTTTCAAGTATATCTCCAGGGTTAATGGTTTACAATATTGTTTGTCTAAAGGTTTGAAACAAGTGGATACAAGCAACTGTGGGCTTTCAATTCGAAATTAATTGGTGAAAAAACATTAGTTTTTCAATTCTTTTCTAAAAATAGCAATTGTCAAGTTTGAAGAGATTCTGAGGATATAACTAAATGTGCAATTTGGATGTAATTTAAAAGTAGAGGAACAATTATTTGACAATCAAAATGATGTGGATCAATTAGAACAGTGGTTGCGATTAAGAGTCTAAAATGTTAGGTCTGGGTTGGAGTCTACTGGTCATTTGCTTGTGTCTTTGGGCATGCCACTTAACCTTCATTAGTCTCTCCACCCAGGAGTACAAGTGGGTGTTAGACTCTCTTCACCCTGGTGCACAAGTGGGTGTCTTCTAGGTTGTGGCATTGATTGTATTTGTACGCAATGTACTGGGTATACCTTGCAATACTCCACAGAAAGTGGAGGGGTTTGCAACTTAGGCATCTTTACCAATTTTTGGATTGAAACACCAAGGGGGTACTAACCATGCATGCTTTGATAATCTGTTAATGGCGCTATAGATCCATAACATTACTGTATTTTGTTTCAAGGATTTATACAAAGGATGTTATGCATTATTGTATCAACAAAACCTGTATGATCTGTGGTGATTTAAACATTACATTACACACTCCATGTGTACTGTATTCCTTATATTCTGTAGTATGTATGTTGTTGAATTTTAACATGCAACCACTATATTTAGGGATTTACCAAATTTTGCTTAAAATTTTAAAAGGGCTCATTGGACAAAATATTTGATAAATTTACATATTGCTAATTGCACATGTGTTCTTGTAAATCCTGAATACTTTGTAAAGTCTCGCATATGATTTTCAGGGAACATTTATCCCCTCCTGTTTCGCTAAGGCATCATTTGTTTGTCTAAGAATACTGGAGCAATATATTAATATGTATTTATAAACTTACTTGTCTAAAAATCAGTAGCAGAATGCAGAGTTTCTGTCTTAGTTCATTTTACAGAATGTGTTGAGTAGTTGATAATAAATTAATACCTACCGTTTATTGTGAGCATGACGTTAGGAGACTTGTAGAGAGTCTACATGATATTGGTTAGCGCAAGTGTTAATTAGATACTGTATACACTACATGTTAATTTTAGTATGCACCGCTTAGTTATATTTTTACTCTTATACTTTGTTCTCTGAATTTGTTTTTTTCCCCCTTCATCTTTAATGTAGATGATATTATAAATGTGAACTGTGATTAATTTTTAAGAAGAGTATAACCAGGTTTGTGAGAGTTTTGTGACAGGTTTAGTTTCTAGTTAATGTTCATAACTGATAGAATTATCGGTTCAACCATGAGTTGGATTATACATTTACCAGAATTTAATATATCTACTTATAAATATAGTTTTTAGTTTGTATGTGATCTTTATTGTTGTTTAAAATGTGGTTGTTGGCAAAATATCGTTTGTGCTTGGCTGTACTTGATGCTGGATTCCTAACACCTGATCCTAAACTTGGTTTACATTGCTCGTATTGTGAGTGTAACTGTTCCACACTCAATATAGACTGGTACTTGTTCCTCAAATGAGTTACACTCAAACATAGTATCTTCCAGGTTGCTTCTATCACACATCTCATGGATTAAGTTGTGAGTTAATCAGAATTACTAGCTATTTTCCAAGCATTGTCACAACTTCGATTATACCACCGCTTAATGTACAATCTTTGCAGACGCTTGTTCTTAACAGGAACCCCACCCCTGGAGGACCTACTGTATACTTTACTGTTTTTATTCAAGCACAGCCTCAGTGTAGGCCTACTGAAGCTGTGCTGTACCCCAATCCTTCCCTCTTGTCTGTTGCTTTTCTGTTGAGCTACATTTTTTGTGCTTTCATTGCAGGTATCATAGTTGAGGTTCCCATCTTCACATATTTTCTTATTCAATTAGATTCACGTTTAACAATGTATGTGTAGTACATTATGAGCGGTTGCACCTGTAAACTGCATCATTGCAAAGCATGGGGTTACCCAATATATTTCATCCTTGTCTCCCAACCCCCCTCCCATTCCCCCACACACACACTTTTAATAATTGAACATTTTGAATCTTAATTATATAATACTGTATAAAAAAATGTTTGACTTTTCTCTAGTCTATGTTGAATGTCGCAATCAAGCATAATCTTTCCCTGACTAGCCTACTGTGAACTTAATATCTGTAATTAGTATTTAATAAGATTAACAAATTTCAATGTTTTCCTAACTTTGCTAATCAAGTTGTTCTACTGGCAATCAGCTGTTTTAATTCTTAATCACCACCTTCTTTTTTTCCTAATATCTTTCCTCATTTGATTTCAATATTGTCAAGGTTTACTTTAGTGATTGTACCACCACTTGCCTAACAATTCACTACACACAAACATTCCTTTGTTCATTCCAAGTCAGCATTTTGTTATACATGTGTTTTGTGTAATTGCATCTTATTTCCGACTTAAATTTTGTATTAATTTCTTGCATACATATATTGTACTTTTAACATATATTTCATAAAATTATTCTGAAGTGTGATGTAATCCAAGTACACACGTTTCTGTAAACCACAAAGATTCTGTCATCTGCTGTAAGTCAGTTACAGAAGGTTCTGTAACTAGATTTAAACAGGTTACTGAAGGTTCTGCAATTTGCTCTATACCAGTAACAATATGTTCTCTTCTACAAACCAGCTACTAAAGATTCTATAATCTGTAAATCAGTTACAGAGAATGTTGTTGCTATTCCTTTTAAGATGATTCAGTATTGTGTTGTAAACTATGGCTAGTGAAGGCATGTACATTTTACTACAAATTTATTAGAACCAACAGCTCTGCTTTTAATGAAATGTCGCTTGGTAATATTTTAGTGTCGTTTTTTCAAGTTATTTTGCCAGCATTTTTAGATCATTATCGTTACACTATATCCAATATTTTACTATATTATAGCTAGCTTACGCATTTTTTGTGGATTTCATCAAAAACCTATTGTGTACTACGGGTTGTGTACTTATGGTGTACGCCTCCTGATTTTACACTTAGCATTACAGTATTTAAGTGATAAACGTTTGATAGGTGCATATGCTTTGTCGTTGAATAAGTTTGACAATTTTGTAGATGATATTATAGAATATAGGCTTAATAATGTAGTTAACTAGATAAAACTGTTCTTGAATGAAACAAAATATATATTATATATATATATATACAGTATATATTATGTACAGTATATATATTACGAAGCAATTCATTGACTTGGTTATATAGAGGAATATAGTGTTGGAGGTTCCAAGCTAGCAGAACCTGAGAATGTATGGACCATTTTGATCATATAACCTTGACTTGTTTACGAATTGTGAACGATAATGGGAATTGGTTGTTGTGTAGGCATGCACAGATTCTTTGTTTTATTATGTTTCTCACATGATTTGAGAATACCTCTTCTTATAGTGAGTAATCAGTTATTGAATGTACACGGTGCAACTAAACAGTCAACAAATCGTATTCTCTGTTTTGTTTTATTTCAAGTGTCTTGTACAGCGTGCGCGTTCAGCAGTTACGTAAGATTTAGAAAAGTGTCATAAATGAAATATTTATGTGCTGTATAGCGCACATGTACAGTACTTTTCAGAAGAAAACTTGCCAATGCGCTTTCTTTCTCTTTTTGTTGGATCCAGAATCATTCATACACAATGTGCAACCTCTCTTCCTGGGGTAGTATTCTTAGTTTGCTACTAATTCAACAACACAATTGTCTTTTACCTCTGTTCCGCAATATTCGCTCTAGTGCGGCAGTATAGTTTTCAGGTCCCTGTGACGTGTGGATGCGGAAGAGGCACAAAACACTTACAGTACTGTACTGTATTGCAAAAACAGCGAACTAGCTTACCTAAACCAGATTATTAGCAAATGTTTGTTTTTTTTTATTTCTTTTCAAATTATTTTGTTAACTGCACAAATTAGACGGTTCCCATCAGATCAAAAGTACTCAAAATCATTTGTTACACAGAATGCGTCATCATACACACCATTTGATAAATAATTATTTTACTAGCTTTCATATGATTCCAAATATATCCAAATTGAATCTTCCAGTGACGGACTAGCTTCAAAATATTTGGGTAAAAACGTGTAAAATTTGCCATTTTTGGTCACATTTGGCACTTAAATCCAAAATTGAGTGTGGCAACAACCCATTCCGTATGAGGCAATAGCTATGATGAGGATTTACCTTGTTGCCAGCTTGTAACAAATGATGCCTATGAAAAAAAGAAGCACTATCAATCTGATGGCCACCTGTCTAAATCATCCGAATGGGATCCAACACGTTTGAATTTGACACTCGACCCTATGAATCCTTCCGGACACCTAGGGGTAGTGTTGTCTCACTTGTTTTGCACATAAACACTTGCATTTTGCAAAATATAAATGTACAGTGTAACCTCATGAAAACTCTTATCCCACTAGCAAAAACTATATTATACAACATTTTCTCTATGGTACAAAATCAACCTAAACTACACGAAAATAAACATAAATAATATACTATACTATAGTGGCCTAAATTAATGAGCAACTGATTTAAATAGCATTAGGAACAAGATATTTTTGTCATTATTTTTAAAGATCATAAGTTAGATTCTCTTATTCTTTCAAATCCTTGTTCTTAGTTATTTTGAAGCAAGTTTATTTTTAAAGCTACCCCTCGGCCAAAGATAATACTGTATATACATTACAGCACTTTGCCTATTTAGCGCTATTTTATGAAGAGCGCTTTTAGTTGTACAGTAAAGAAATATTGTAACAATGGAACCCCAACCAAAGCGCACTACCCACTTCTTTTGCCAGGTAAATTACCCCATCACTTAATCACCCAGCCCCTTAACCTTCGCCATGCGACTTATTGAGAATTTCGAACGTTTTGAGTACAGTACATTTATTTTACAATTAAACTTCTACAGTGAATCCCCCTCTAAAATCGAGACCACATTTCCAAAGATCCAAATACAACAATCTTCAACGTTTTAACACAAAGCTAGCCCTCTAATTTCAGACCAACCCAAATTTTCGGGTGCCAAAGGTGGTCTCGAATTGAAGGAGGGAAAACTGTATTTAAACATACATTTTTGCTTTGGTGGCGCTTCATAGTTTTAGCGGCTTGCCGTAAAACATGAATATCGACTCGCGATACGATAGACTACCGGGTAAACTACATAGTACAGTTACTACAGTAAGGCAAAATTTTCTTTCTTCTTTTAAGTTACAAGACTGACCTCCTAAACCTCAGGCTTGGCTACGTGTCAGATTTAGGGCGGCCAATTTAGTTAGGACCAACCGAACGGATCTACAATTGGGCCCGATAGTCCAGAAATGGACACCATGGTCTTGTGGGCGGCCTAGGCCTAAGTACAAATTCGTTAGCGAGGCTCCACAAAATCTAGGCCTATCAGCCCATAGTGACTTTACAGCAAGACTAGCGTAGTAATAGTGGGACCTAGCTAGTCAGGCCAGGTATATGTTCCCTTCCGTCTTTAGGGTTAATCTCATTTTATGGGGTTCGGGCCCAGGCCTTTATGAAAGCAGTGATTTGAAATTGCTAGGCGATGCCAGGGTTGCCAGATAGTCGACAGCAGGGTTGCCAGATAGTCGACAGGCTCGCTCACGGCCAAACACACGCCATCTCACGGCCAAATTCGGCCAAACCTTTTTTCAATATCGGCCAAAATTCGGCCAGATTTTAATCCGATTAGAAGACAGTTATATGGGTACATATTCACTGCAAAAATTACAGGAAAATCTGGGGCCGTTCGTTTGAAATTGAAGAAATTCAAATAATATACACAGAACAATGTTAAACTTCTTTTAATTAATCTATCACCATAAAATACATGCCCAGCTACATCATAATATTAAATATCCTAGGCCCTATGTTCTTTAGTTGCTGACGCCCGAAAATAACCAATGCGTTTGGGCGATCAATTTTTTTTTTTCACCACTCCTCACCCCCTCCCCCACCCTAATTTAAATCCGCTTCTGCTATTTAAAATCACATCATTAAGACTGATCTAAATTGATTTAAATGTATTACATATTAACGTACATGTAGTCGATCTATAGCAAACATTTTAAGGTCCTGTTATTGGTCAACCCGTCTCTCTCTTTAATTAGAATGAATTAAGTTACATAGTTACTTTTAGGTAACACAAACTGGCGTTAAAACAAACCTATGGAAACTTTAATAAATACTTTTTATCTAAACTTTCTAAATTCGCCTCTGAATGTTATTGTCGCAGTACTTAAAGCAATAAGTCAATGTTGCTATCAGAATTATCTTCTTTATTCTCATATGCAACCTAACTCCAGAGTCTCTGCAACACTTGCTTGAAATTGGAGGTGCCATCGGACCCGGATAAGCACATCGAGCATTTATATATGGCGCTCTACATAAAGAACACTGCAGCACCTAGGGCTATACAATTCAAGTGGGCAATAATAAATCAATTAAGTACAGTATTTAATTTATATTCAAAAGAGATAGAACCTCCACTAGAATGAAACATATACAAAGACACACAGTATGGTACAAACTTGCATTGAACTTCATAAAAAAATATGTATTTCATCCGAACAATTTAAATTATTAAATGTAACTTATCTTTTAAATAAACTCTCTTACCTCACATCAGCTAAAGGGGGAACATAGATTAAGTGTTTAGTGCAAAGGTACATGATTCAGGGGCGGATCCATGATTTTGAAGAGGGGGTTCAAAACGTTTCCAAAAATACCCAAAATGAAAGGGGGTCCGGGGGTCCTCACCATGGAAAATTTCCCCCTTGAATCCGCCACTGTATGGGGAATCCATTAACGCTCAGGTGACCTAGGGTTTTAAAACAAATACCGTATAGGCCTATACTCACGTATAGACGAGGCTTAAAATAGCAAACTACGATCGAAAAAAGGGGGTCGTCTTATACGCACGACATTCAGATTTTAGATTTTTATATTTATATTCATGTTCGTCTTATGTGCGGATGTTCGTCTTATGTGCGGATCGTCCGTAAATCTGGTTTTCTACTAGGCGAATTTATTCACGCGAATCCAAAGTGTCGGCTTATGCACATGCGCATTCACATTCCTATCGGAGTTTTTGAGAAGCGAAAAAATGCGCAACCAATCAGTATGGAAGGCAAACGCCGCCAAAAATACAATTACAAACACACAACGTACTAGCACAAACACACAACGTGTTAGCACAAACA